TGGACCTGCTGAACAGTAATACTCCATGTTTGTGGACGGTTTATTGATGACAGGAGAAAAGCCACAAACTGGGCATGATCTGCTTGCAGGGGTTTGTGCAACACTTGTCCAAACTGTTTGCACTTTTAAGTTTCATAACTAGCTAGACAGAAAGTCATCAAGGCTAGTTCTATTAATCTTCTGTTTAAATTAGAACTCCAGACACACAAGGAAGATGGAAGCAGCTAAACAAACTATCTAAGGCTTTACCTGCAATGATGCCATCCATCTGTTCCAAAGCTGCAGCCAGCATGTCACTTGCATCACTCATCATTTTCTTGCTTCTCAAAAAACAGTCACTGCTAAACCCTAAAAACAATGGAAAGACTGGTGTTACAGGAATTTTAAGATTTCAGACAACTCCACTATTAATCATTCTGCAAGTGAATTTCACTTCCTTCAGCATGCTCTAAACTTAGATGCAATCAAAAGGCCAGCTAGACAGTAGAGTTCCTTCCTGGCCCCTAAGCAGACAAGGTTCTTTGGGTAAATCTGATACTGTATCTTTTATCAGACCAACTCAAATAGTTGGAAAAATTCTTCTTTGCAAGCTTTGGGGTACAAATACCCTTCATAAGGCAGAAGAAACATCTGCAGTTTGTCTGTGCTCTTCCTGGCTGGAGTAGTAAAGTAGTAAAGCAGCTAGTAAGTATGCAAGAAAGCTAGTCAGTTAAAATGTGAACTGAGGTAGTCAATAGGTGAGAGACAGGTGGAGGGGGGAAGGGGAATGGGAATGAATGTAGCTGTGGCCCCTGGTATTATTCTCGGGGTACCTATTACCCAGGTGTAGACAGATGCTAGGAAGTTTCCCCAGTGTGCTGGTTCCTACCTTGGAAAGCTCTGTTTACAGCTCCACTGATGTGTGCAGATCACCTGTTTTGCAAATGATATGTCCTGCAGGCAGCACATGTGAAGCTTTGGACGGCTCACATAAGAAAAACAGCACCTCTATTTGCTGGCTAAAATTTGCCCGAAAAATTGAACTGAAAAGAAAGCATCAGTTCTGACAAATGCCTGAATCCACTTCACAGCTGCTCCCAACAGCCTACAGTTTCTGTGTTTGGTAACATTACATCAGTGAAAAACAGCTTCCTGGGGGAAACCAAGCAGCATACCAACATCCCTCGTACATGTGAAGGGAAGAACCTGATTTCAGAAAATGTAGGCTTCAAGTGTTAGAAAAATTGGGGTACAGACCCAAAAGAAACAATCTGTGTGTTGTTTTAAGCTTTTTCTGAATCTTCTGAACACACTTCGCTCATTGTTGTGACCATGTCCATAGAAACAAGGTGACAAAATGGGGATAGATAAAAGGAATGCCATTGTTCACATAAGAGAGAGGAAGTTTACAATTTAATAGATTCTTGTACGACAGGAGAGTTTTGTTAGATTTTTACTTAATTATTTATTTATTTTTCATATTCAGTGTGTAGCCAAATTCTCAGCAGGATAGCTGAAAAGCAGGGCTATATTATAGGAGGATTCTCAGACAGATATTGGAAAAGTTAACATGCTAAATTCACTAACCAAGGGATGAACAGTCAGTTTAATTTCAGTAGGTGATTTAAAGAAGAAAGCAGGTTTCAAGTTAAGCATGTGCTTAAGTACTCTGTTGAATCACAGTCACAGAGGTCAGAGAGAGACTGTATTTTCCATTTCAGCACAATGGAGAGGTGAGTAACTGAGATACTCTAGATCAGAAGTCAGCAACCTACAGTGCAGGAGCTTTGGCAGCAGAGGGGTTTTACCCACACCACACTGTATCATCTCACATCCGGGCTCTTCGCACTTGTCTCCCCACAGCTCGGCAGCAGAGAGAAACAGCAACCGGGAGAAGTGCAGGTAGCCAGGTCCTAGCACTGATCTGATTTGGACGTGAGCTGGGTCATTTTGGCCTGCTAGTCTGCGTGAGAGAACACAGCTGCTATAAATACAGATACAATAAAGGTAAACAAAAAGAATCCGAGAGAAAACACTTGGTTTCTCAACAAGGTCAAATATTTTCCAGCACTTCAAACTGACTGGCTGACATTCAAACCAAAGATAAAGTTAAAAGTTATTCATATAATCTTTGCTGTGAATACAACACAAAGACCCTGAAAAAGCAAACGGTTCTGAACCACAATTTCCTTAAAGTATCTCCTTTTTGGCATAACCCACCTGCTTGGTAACTTATTCTAGTTTGCCCACTCTGCGGACTGAAACAGTACACTGAAAAAGCCAATGGAGCATCTTGTCTTTTACATTAAGGGTGTTAAAATATGGCCCATGGAGCCCCGTCATCCAGCCTCCAGTGTTGGCCCGGGGTTTAAGGTGACCCATACAGGGCTCAGCTTCACAGGCAGGGCCTGGGACATGTACAGCATATGATGCCCTTTCTGGCAGCACTGGCATCTGCACCACAGACCATACACTCCCCTCAGCCTCTGAAAATCTGAAAAAACACACTGCATACAGCACCTGCTCCAGCTGGTCCAGGACCAGTGCTGGAGTAGGCACCAGGGCCAGCATAGTCCTGGACCAGCTGGTGGCATCTTGTGCAGCATTGATCCCAAAATGCAGCAGCACATGCTGTGGATCTAGCATATGGAGGTGGGGGAGGGAGAGACGAGTTTGGCACCTGGGTTTTATACCAAAGCTTCCATGGTAACAAATCAGCAAGATGTGAATCTGAGCCCTAAGGATCATCTCTGAACAATGGCTCAAGGACTGCTGCACTTATTTTACTACTTTAGGGCATCTTTACACATGCTCCGGGGTGGAGAGAGGGACATTTTAATTGGAGCAGGTCCGAGAGCCACTCTAATTGAAGTGCCCAAAGCATCCCACACTTCAAAATGGTGGCAGGGGAGCTTAACTAAAGCTTGTTTGTTGAGCTTTAGTTAAAGTGCCCCCACCACCACTTTGAAGTACAGGACGCTGAATACACGATATGGAGTCTGCTGAAGAATGCTAATTAGCATGCTCCAGCAGACTTGATTAATTAAGTCTGCTCTGACACATGCTAAGTAGCACGCATTAGAGCAGATGTCTGGCACGTATATATGTGCCCTTTGTTACCAAAGTTTGGTCAGCTGACATGATTTTTGAGAAGGAAACATGTGTACTGATATGGGCATGTTAGAAAGGAAGAGCTATATCAAAGTATTAGAATTTCCTTGAGGTAGCTTCAGGTTTTTAGCAAAATATAAGCAAATCAGATAAAGCAATACAATACTTAACATAATATACTGGCAAATCTTCCTAATATGGGTCAACGGTTCATACATTTGAGATAGAAAAGAAGACAATCCCTTTTTCCTCATAAATTAATCTAAACCAGTAGTGCCCTTGGGTGTGGCCCTGCAAGCCACATGAGAGGCACAGGGCCAGCTCACACCACCCATGCTCCTGCCCCACTTCAGCCAGCCAAGATAGGGTTCTGGGAGCCCCATGGTGCTCCCCTCCCCCTACCACTGGCTGGGACTGGGCTCGGGGCCCCTGTACTGCCTCCACCTGGCCAGGATCAGGCTCCAGGTGCACTGCGCTGCCCCTGCCCAGACCATGGACTAGCACTCTTGATCTAAACAATCTTGAATGCTTCAAGTCTTTCATTACAAAATTTCCCAGATCCACTGACAATCTATGGTTATGCTGAAATCTAGTATTAAGGTCCTCATGAATGAACAATATGAATGCTCACATACAGACTTCCCTCTGGATGCCTCTAAGGCAGGAAAAGTAAGTGAAAGACTAAGAGCAACAACTGTTCTGGGCAAAGTGCTGATTACATACTGCTGCCTATACTACAGACTATACTGCAAAGCACCTGCTACCTTTCACTGCCATTTACCACATTTTCTTGCAACCAGCATACCCAGGAAAAATCCACACATTGCTTTTGAAAGGCAGAATGAAGAAAAAAGGATTTTTCTAGAGTTATGAGTATACAGAGAAGGGACAGAGCCCTTCAGCTGACTCACCTTCCCTTTCCTGTGCAACTAAAAGCTGAAACCCTAATGGCTGCTGAAGACTCATCTCCATGGGCAGACCTATGATTTTGAAAAGAGCTAAAGGGAGTCTTCCAGGCTTAGAAATACGAGGAATGAGACCAGTAGCCTGTAGCAGACAGAAAACGTGCCTTAAGAAAGGTTAGCTTGATTATTAGTAGAACTTCAGTAACATTAAAAGAAAGGCCAGACAATCATTAGAACAAGGAGCCATTAGGTCAATCGACCGCCACAGCTGCTGCACTGTGGAGCAGAAATCAAAGCAGGGTGCTTCCATCCCTGACAGAAAATCAGCTTCCCTGCTTAATACATGCACCCAAACTTAGAGGGGAGGCTAATTTGGGGGGAAGGTGCATACTATACACAAGGAAAAACAGTATTTTAGTGGAAACTGAAAGGTGTCCTGCACAGCTGCATCGTTGGGCCCAAATTACAGTGTGATCAGGCCACTACCACAGAGACAGAGAGAGAGAAAAAACCTAAGACAGCCAAAATGCCAGTTACCACTTTGATAAGTAGTAGAATCACCTTGCTCTTACACTGTGCTTTCTCCCCACCATCTATACAGCTCTGCTAGTAGCAGCAAATGTGATAACTGCAACAGACAAGGCCTGGGTAGATAGCAGTATGTTAACCACCTATCTAGCTTGATTAAATGTGGTAGGATGGCTTGGTGATGTGAATCTGGCAGCTGGTCTGTACTAAAGCTCCCACCTTTACTACCATGAAACAAATTCTCCACCACTGGTACCAGAAATGGGATTTTTTTTTTTTGATTTTTTTTTTTTTTTTTTTTAAGACAAAAATGCTAGTGAAGCAAGAGAAAGGCAATGTAACTGACCCTCATAGCCCAAGTAAAAACCAAAAAAATCTGTTCACCATGTCTCCAACATCTGCTATCAAACTAAAGCAGGCCTGGGGTGAGAAAACTTTTGAGAAATTAGACAGTTGGAGACTGTAGGTAACATCACTGTAAAACACAGTATAAATACTGGTAAGACAGGAAAATGGCGTGTTCCCATGTTCATTGTGACATTTAAAAAAAGCAAAACAAAAGACAAAAACATGATACACAAGTTCTCACAAAATTTTTATTCTATTTTATGTTTCTCGTACAGGGTGGTCAATTTCTGGGACAGGAGTAGCAACTGATCAAAAGATTATTACCCTGTGAGTGTGTCTAAACTGGCTTAAATTTATTGTGCAGTAAATTACTGCACCGTAAGCAGGAACAGGCCAGCATCTACACATGCAGGCATTAAAGTGCATTAATGCTGTGTGTGGACTGACTCAGGACTAAAGGAAGTCCAAAGTCAGTCC